CCGAGCCTGCATCGTGCCGGGGAGTCAAATGGAGCAGGCCCGGGCCGGGCCGGGCAGCTGAGCAACCCAACTGGGAGATGCAGCAGAGCAGGCTGCTGGATCTCTCTGCTTCCCACAGCTCCTGCCAGAAGGCCCAAGCCCTGCTGCCGCCCTGGCCCCTGGGAGCTTCCCAGGCCATATCTTGAGGGAGGGGCCTATGGCGAAGGGGCGGAGCCGAGGTGGGAAGAGCCAGGGCCAGTGGAAGGGGATTGCCCCAGGCCCCACGCCCCCTCGGGACAGCCCTGACCTACCCCCTGGTCCTGGGCCAGGCAGCCCCGCGCCCACTGCCAAGCATCTGCAGTTAGCTGCAGCCTGGACAGCTCCCGGCCGAGCCCTGCCTGGCTCACCCTCCGCCCTGGGCCTCACCGTCAGGATGAACTTGTTCCCGCTGGGGTCTGTAAACTCGACGTCTTCTGGCTTCACCGACCTCCTCTTCTTCTTCTTCTTCTTCTTCTCCTTGGCCTCCCGCTCCTCCCGCTCCTCGTCCTCCTGGTCCTTGAGTTTGACGAAGGGCCACCAGCCCTTCATCCGCTTGTTCCGGAAGATGGAGAAGCGGGGGGTGGCCTTCTCCTTGGCCATCTTGATGGTGCACTGCTCCGAGCTCTTGGCTGCCCGCACCATGTCGTTCAGCTTCAGTTCAATGGAGCCTGTGAACACGGGCAGAGGTGAGACCCGCAAGGGCCAATCGGCTCGTTCCGGGGTGGAAGGGAAGCAGATTTGAAACGGGACGTTTCCTGGGAACTGGAAATTCTGCCTCTGGGCCAACTGGAGGGGAGAGCTCCGTGTAGTCCTCAGCCCGCCACCAGCCCCTCCACAGGCTGCGTGGGCGTGGGCAGGGCATAGTGCAGGCCGGCGTGGCAAGGCCGTCCACAGGTGGCAAGGGAATGAGACCCCGTTCCTGCGGGGTTCTGAGCCAGGGCTGCTCACCTGTGGGACAGACACACAGGGAGGGAGCTGGCGATGGTACTGACACCGGGCTGCAGGACTCAGCATTGACCGGGAGGTACCTTCTGATGCGGGGGGGGGGGATATCCTATTGGCCCAGCTCCCGCCTGTGACATGACCAGCTTGTCTCCTCCAGCCGACACTGCCCCAAGACAGTCAGTGTCACCCAGCACCACTGGGGCCAAGTAGCCCAGGGCTCTGCTCTGGAGGAGCGTTCTCACCCACCCCGGCGCCCTGCCTTGGAACCAAGCACTGTCCTGAGCTCCCGTGGCGGGGGTGTGGGCCCTGGAGCCTCAGACTGGAAGACGGGGCTCTCCCGAGCAGGGGAAGCCCATCTGGTGGGGCTGCCTCAGGGCTGTGCCCCTGGGGGCTGAGCGAAGTGGCAGGTTTCCCAGAGAACACCTGAAAACTGGCTGAATCCGATTGGCTGCCATCAAACACTCCAGGTTCAATGAACTGGCATTTTCCAACCGAATGGTTTCAGCAGCAAATTTCCCCCCGGGAGCCAGTGTGCTGTCAATGCAGCCCATTCCTCGGTGGCCCGGGGTCCGGCCGCACGGCTCAGAGCTCAGGGGATGTAGCAAGGGGGCCTTTCTGCGCAGTCTGAGAATGAAGGGTCCCAGGAAAGGGGGAAGCTGGTCGGCAGTCTGGCGTCTATGGACCAACAGCATCACCAGCTGCCCCTCAGCCGGAGGCGCGGCCAGGCTGCCTCTGCCAGTGTCCCTGTAAGCTGGGGGGAGCAATCCTTTCTGATGGGGGACACGCCAAGCTTTCGGTAAGTGGCCCAGGGCAGCAGAGGGTGCAGGGCCTGGAGGCAGAAGGGACGGAGGACTGGGGTGCAGGGAGGAGTCTGGCCTGGGGCGGGGTGTGTGCACAGGGTCTGGGCGCTGCTCTGGGGCAGGGTATCAGAGTGCAGTGGGGGGGCAGGTTCGGGAGGGAGTTGTGACCTGGGGGGAGGGGAATGCAGAGGGTTTGGGGGAGACGTGCAGCAGGGAGCTGGAGTGTGGGAGGGGCTGGGCTGCCAGGTGCAGGCTCTGACTGGGAGGCGCTTACAGAGGTGACTCCTGGCCAGCAGCCCAGTAAGACCTGAGGCAGCCTCCCTGGCTGCCTCCGCCCCAGGCCGTTCAGAACA